TATGAGGCCACCGAGGTCCAGAATTTTTCATTTTCAAAAATAACTTTTTTTCTTTGAATGACTAATTTTCTGTTAAACATCTCATATGAATGCCTGCATGTCGTGTATAATTCAGTTTAGACAGTTTGCAAGAATGTTTAACGTCCCTGTTATGAAAATGATCGCTGCGAGACGCTAGCGGAGTGAAAGGGGCTTCAGAGAGTTGTGAGTGACGGCACGGGCGATATCTTTATCTTATCTTATTTGCAAAAGATTGGAAATAATTTTTGTTTGTTTTAGTATCAATATCTGGCAACACTGCATCGCCGGCACACCAACAGTGTTGCCAGACGTACCATAATTATCATATTTCTACGATAATTTTGACCTCTGTACGATGTACGATCAATAATTTAAAAAATCCCATAATGTACGATAATTTCAGAATTGTGTGACTCTTCAAATCATGGTAGTTGTAAATCATAGGGTTTCTATACTCATCCACGAAATCGGCTCATTACAGACACTACAAATGCGCTCGTTAAGAATTCAGGAGGGTGCCATGCTTTTAAGCCAACTCTTTTTTGACCTAGCTTTCATTTTGCAGCTCCTTTGGCCTACAGGGCCATTCTTTTACACCGAGCCCATAGTGTACTGGAACGACGTTCATGCCTTTCTGCCTTAATGTCCCCTGTGGCCGCCTCCATCGCCCATGAGAACTGCTTTTCCCCCCTCTCTTGTCTGTCAGAGGAGCGGAAGTGTTGCCTTTTCGTCCATTATGCATTCTGGCACCCAGTCAGTCATAAAGCGGGCACAACACCCCTCTCCAATCGCTCCTCAAGCACACACACCCATCTCACCCCGTCTCTCAATCACCTGCGACAATAACGTGTCTTAATCTTCTCTCATCTGCATGGAGCTCACGTGGATTTATGGTAATTTAAGCACAATACGTCAACGCACATTGAAGGGCTATTGAAAATCTTGAAAATGTATTAAAGTGCTCATCATTTTCCAGGGAACCATAAACATATTAGTCGTGTGCTGTGTTAGCAGAATCCATATTTCAAACAAACAAGAGATAATGAACTGTGAGCAGCATAATCATGTACACGTCCCAACTGGCCTACAATGGGATTAAACGCACAACATGACAGAGAACAAATTCAATATTGTTCTTCTGGTTAATCTAATGAGCCGGTGAGTAGTATATAGCATTAATAATGTGTGCAATACGTTCTGGATGCATAGAATGACCATGACCTCCTACATTTGACGAGTTCTTTAACATCGTTAGCTTCAGGGCCAAATTGAATTTGAATTATTTTTAATTAATTAAAATACTTTTGTAATACAATTTCTGAGAAAAAATGGTTTCACTTTCTTTTTCAGTGTACATCCTCACCTCTGATAAAATTGATTAAAATATTTAAAAGCAAATACTAATAAAAATCATTATTAATAATTTGCAATGGTTATTCACATTTTTAAAGCTTGCGAAATACAATTATTTTATTAATAATAATAATTTGCAAGAGTTATTAACATTGTACAATGATATCTACACATTTTAAGAAATGAGCACACACTGTAAAAAAAAGAGATTTTTCTAAATTGTAAAAAAAAAAGTACATTTTACAAAAAAATATTATTTCAGTTTTTCTGATGTGTAATTCAAAGTGTTGCTTGCCATTTCTTTGTAATTGTTTGTGAAATTTACTTTGAAATTATTTACAATTTCTGAGTGAAAATGATCTCTCCACCAATCTTTTTTTAAGTACACATTCATAGCCACAAAACAACAGAATTTTCCACTTTGCAAGCCACTGTGAGAATAAATTCATAATAAAACACATAAACAGCGATGCAATACAAACAAGTATTTAGGGTTCATACATTTCGTAACCAATGAATTCCCATGATTTTGGATGCTTCCAATCATTTGTTGTTAAATATTTTTTTTTAAATCAGTTTATATTTCCAAAAATGTATTTCTAGCCACTTAAATATTTTAGAGCTATATAAACATAACAACATTTTTATTCACTTCAGACATTCCCATCAGGCCCGTAGCCAGCTATGAGGCCACCGAGGTCCAGAATTTTTCATTTTCAAAAATAACTTTTTTTCTTTGAATGACTAATTTTCTGTTAAACATCTCATATGAATGCCTGCATGTCGTGTATAATTCAGTTTAGACAGTTTGCAAGAATGTTTAACGTCCCTGTTATGAAAATGATCGCTGCGAGACGCTAGCGGAGTGAAAGGGGCTTCAGAGAGTTGTGAGTGACGGCACGGGCGATATCTTTATCTTATCTTATTTGCAAAAGATTGGAAATAATTTTTGTTTGTTTTAGTATCAATATCTGGCAACACTGCATCGCCGGCACACCAACAGTGTTGCCAGACGTACCATAATTATCATATTTCTACGATAATTTTGACCTCTGTACGATGTACGATCAATAATTTAAAAAATCCCATAATGTACGATAATTTCAGAATTGTGTGACTCTTCAAATCATGGTAGTTGTAAATCATAGGGTTTCTATACTCATCCACGAAATCGGCTCATTACAGACACTACAAATGCGCTCGTTAAGAATTCAGGAGGGTGCCATGCTTTTAAGCCAACTCTTTTTTGACCTAGCTTTCATTTTGCAGCTCCTTTGGCCTACAGGGCCATTCTTTTACACCGAGCCCATAGTGTACTGGAACGACGTTCATGCCTTTCTGCCTTAATGTCCCCTGTGGCCGCCTCCATCGCCCATGAGAACTGCTTTTCCCCCCTCTCTTGTCTGTCAGAGGAGCGGAAGTGTTGCCTTTTCGTCCATTATGCATTCTGGCACCCAGTCAGTCATAAAGCGGGCACAACACCCCTCTCCAATCGCTCCTCAAGCACACACACCCATCTCACCCCGTCTCTCAATCACCTGCGACAATAACGTGTCTTAATCTTCTCTCATCTGCATGGAGCTCACGTGGATTTATGGTAATTTAAGCACAATACGTCAACGCACATTGAAGGGCTATTGAAAATCTTGAAAATGTATTAAAGTGCTCATCATTTTCCAGGGAACCATAAACATATTAGTCGTGTGCTGTGTTAGCAGAATCCATATTTCAAACAAACAAGAGATAATGAACTGTGAGCAGCATAATCATGTACACGTCCCAACTGGCCTACAATGGGATTAAATGCACAACATGACTGAGAACAAATTCAATATTGTTCTTCTGGTTAATCTAATGAGCCGGTGAGTAGTATATAGCATTAATAATGTGTGCAATACGTTCTGGATGCATAGAATGACCATGACCTCCTACATTTGACAACATGTGTAGTACACAACAGAGAACGATGCACAGAATAATGTATATCCTATAATGCAAAGCACTCAACTTGACTTTCCATTACTAGTGCGACAAATGAACCAGAAATAATTACAATTGTGATTCTAACATCTCGCCAGGGAGTGCAAGGCTATTCTGTGTTACTTCAGAAGACTTGGAACATGGCTGAAAAAACGGTATGATAAAAATATAAAAGAAAGCTAGAAAAAAGAAAAGCAAAATTCAATTATTTTAAATTATAATTCAATTAAAAATGTTAAATGATGACACCACTCAGTGTGGAAAGATCATGTGACAACAATGACACATACTACTGCTTTGAAATGTTTATCGTTGCATTGTTTTACTTGTTTTGAAAAATAGTAGGCAGTATACAGTATTTACTGTGCAGCATTAGTTAACAGTAAACACAAAGTCATAATCATGTCTAGAACATTAGAGGGGACCAGTTATATATAAGATTTAAAAAATGAAGAAAAGAAATAGAACACTGAAGGAAATTCCATGTCTAATTCTAATTAGTGACTGAAATTCCATGTCTAATTCTAGTTGGGAAGTAATCATTTTGAGCGATTTCCAAATAATATGACAAAAATATAATAAAGACATAAGACAAAAACGCAGAACGTTGCATGTATCGTCATATTTAGGAATTAAGCCTACATGAATCACGTAAATGGTACCACATTTTCAATTTAAAACGGCCGTTTTTAAGAAAACAACTTGAGTAGTTTGCATCCCTGAATGTTACTGTCATTAAATATATAATTTATACTAAAACAGTTGTCAAATATTGTATGTTTTTCGCTACTTCAATCTAACCTCGCTGTCTTTCAACGTGAAAACTGATGCTCGCTCTGGATACAGGGTTGCCAGGTCTGCGTAATAAAATCAGCCCAATTGCTACTCAGAACTTGCCCAATGACGGCCAAAATTATCCCAATTATCGCGTTCCGGGGGAAATTGGCTATTAAAATGGCAATATAATCGCGTTCCGGTGGGGTCCTCCTCAGTCAGTATAGCGTTCTGAGGGGCCAGATGATCAGTGTTGGGGAAAGTTACTTTTAAAAGTAATGCATTACAATATTGCGTTACACCCTAAAAAAGTAACTAATTACGTTACTTAATTACTTTTTATGGAAAGTAATGCGTTATATTACTTTTGCGATACTTTCGCGTTACTTTTTAAATATAAGCAGGGCTTGATTGTTTTTAAAGGGGTCATATGATGCTTTTTTAAAGATCATTATTTTGTGTATTTGGTGTAACAGAATATGTTGACATGCTTTAATGTTCAAAAAACACATTATTTTTCAAATACTGTACATTATTGTAGGCCCTCTATGCCCCGCCTCTCTCAATCATATTCAGAGTTTGCATTTCACGGTTTTAACTCATTTTGATGAATACTAAATCTGTTTTTTGTGAGTGGGATGAATTAATGCACATTCACATTTAGTCTAGAACTACAGTAGCATCATGTTCACACAGCGCACACAACGCCTCTGTACTCCCGATTTCTCCCAGTATGGGGACAGGAGACTTGTCAGTCAATAAATGGGAAAACAAAGTAACTGGCATTACTTTTTTGAAAAAGTAACTCCGATATTTTCTTGTAAATTAAAAAAGTAATGCGTTACTTTACTAGTTACTTGAAAAAGTAATCTGATTACGTAACTCGCATTACTTGTAATGAGTTACTCCCAACACTGGAGATGATTCGCTTCAAACCTCGCACAAAAAACGACGAGACAACAATATAAAAGTAGCTCGTGGACTTGGCAACACGCTCTGGAATTCGCGCTCTGCTTCTCTGAACAATAAATCCTGCCTACTTCGATTTGAACGGCGATCTCTATCATTTTGACAGTAACGAGCGCCGTTAGACCAGGCTAAAAATTTAACTTTTAAACCTTAGTCATCATAATAACAAACAGAGTGCAATATTAAGGGGACAATTTGGCAATTTCTAATTATTGATATCGACTTGTCCCTCTCATGTTTATGGTTACGGCCCTGAGTAAACTAGTCTGACTCAAACCTTTCCGACTGTAGCCACCGTAAAACTGCAAGGAAAATTCTGTAAGGTAACAGTTTAAGAGATATAAGCTTCATTAAGCTTTAATAATTTAATTTAGATACATTTTCATTATTGTTGACATTACACAATATATATATATATATATATTTACAGGTCATTATTAAATATCATTAGAATTTACAGGATTTTATACAAAATTGCCTGACAGATGCTTTGATTGTATGATCCAGATCCTTCACATATTGTTAGTGAACTGAAGTGATGGTTACAGAACCATACATTTCAGAGTTGCAATGATCGGTTTCTTGCTTAAACTCAACTGGTGCGCTTTGAGGCCTTTGAAAAAGATTCAGATCCCTCGCCCAATTTTTAAGAAGCAAGATTGTTTTCATCAACCAAAGTCTTCGACATTAAGAAATCTAATACACCAAAAAATATGTTTAAATAATGAACCATAACAGTAACATCTGATATTACAACTATTGAATCAGATTTTTTTTTTTTTTACCATGATGTAATATCAGCTACTAGTTTTCAACTTATATCTATCGATAGTGTTGATGGTTTACAAATATATTGCGTCTTTCTTTGTTGAGGTTCACTCGCCTCATCCAATCTCGAAACACTCGAGATGTTAAACAGCCTGCGGCTTACCACACAAAGTTTATACAGTGTAGAGATTAGGACTGTCTAGCATTTACACGGCCTAGGTACTGTTGACACAGTCCAACCACCGGGGTAATGGTCCATGTCAGTCCGTCCTTGTCCATGGGATCACATATAGGTCCTTCGTCGTGGCCCAGCATGTTCATATATCCCCTGCATCAGATAAAACCTATGTTTTAATAGGGCTGAGTTTCCTTGTTGGCCCAACATAAAAAAAAAAGCAATAGTAAAAGGACCTGTTGTGAAAATACCCTGTATGGCTTCCTGACAGAGTCTTTGCATTGCATCCTGCAAACTCATTTGAAAGAACAGAAGAATCTTTAAAGTGTCAACTGAAAATGCATTGTGCTCCAGCTCTCTGCAAGAGACAAAGAAAACAAACCAAAGCATGCTTTTAAAAGATATCTGATACACAGCGTAACTCTAGGAAAATAGACTTTCACGACCGACTCCTTCTGTAAAGCTTTCTCGGATGCAGTTGGCTACGAAGTAAACATATACTAACCCAAAAAACAAATCCTTTAAAATATATGCAAAGACAAGCATAAATATTTGATCCACAGAGTAATCTACATATGACAAATATAAGTGGTATATTGAAACTCTGGAACAAGCCCTGTACTGCGTGTTTTTTCCTCTGGTTGTGTCTTTAGAACGAAAAAACAAAATCCTGATTTTTTATTTTTTTTTTACTTTGACCATCTTTCCTCAGTCTTTCCGCTATATATTTGAAATAAATCAGCAAAAGGTGTATTGTTTTATTCTCTTTTTTTACTCTTCTTTGTTTTCTCTTTTGGTCCGTTCTGCTCTGCGGATGCTTTTAATGCACGTAGTAAAGCCAGTAAACTATGTTGAAGAAGGAAAACACGGTGGGGAAGATCATCCTCGACCACTTGTCGATGGAGTTGACGTCGGACAGGTCCGGGATGTTAACCTTGAGTTGGGAAGCCCGTCTCCTCAGCCGGCTTTTCTTCTGGGTGGCGTGGCGCTCCAGCGCACTGTGGCCGTAGTTTTGCCGAGCCATGGCCGCTCGACGGTACTGAAGGGTGGAGCTGTCGTAGGCAAGCATGGTGCTACGCGGGTCACCCAGACCCCGGGAAAGATCAGACGGACCCATTTCGTTCTTCATCTCAACCGTGGTCAGCCGGATATCATCGGGGGTCATCTGGAGAGAGAAGCAACATTGTAGGATCAGGTCTAGTTAAGAATCACTGTCATCAAATGGTGCATTATTGAAAAGCCCTCTATACATTATATTTGCAAAACCAGCATTTTTCTGAGATCTGTGGGTAGGATATTTTCAAAACACTGTGTATGCAACTGGAATCCGCCTTTTAAAATCACAGACCGCAGGGTAATGCTGTTTTTGCATATGTTGAAATGATGCACAATGATGGATTTCATGAACTAGATGTTGAAAAGAAGTGGACTGTCCCTTTAAACCCATGATGAATGCAGTGCAACCATAGTAAATGAATCGTCAGCGATAGTTACACTGCACTCATGGTAAGCTGTGGAGTAAAAGCATTTCAGGCAATAATATCCAGGATTATTCACGAATTTCAACCATGGCATGGTTAAAATTCTGTCTGCGTATAAATCAGCCAAATAAATGCAAATAAAAAAGGCAAAAACATGAAGGCCTCAACAGTGAGGAGTCAGGTTGCAGAGATGGAGGTAAGGAAAGGCCGGGGCAGGAAGGAAAGCATTCCCTTTCCACGATAACCTTGCTTGCTTAAATTTGATTTGATTAGATTTTTCATTTTAAAGTTTCATTTTAAGCATTATTATATCTTGGGCTGCTTAATAATCATCAAAATTGTCCTACAAAAGCTATGTAAACATTGCAAATGCAGTTTGCTAAGCGCTAATGCTACTGTAACAAAGCGACAAATGTTGCACCTGGCTATATACAACAATTTATCAGTATATATATTCATATAATCAAGACTAACTAATACCTAAGCAGATTAAGTGTTAGTTCCCCATTGTGTTGTTCACCTTGTCAATCGATTTTCTGCTTTGAACATTCAGTATTGTGTAACAGAAGTTTGATATCTCTCATGCTTTAAATTTTATTATATTATATACATTTATCTGCATTTTATTGACAATCAGCCACTTGGTTTTTATGTAGACAATAATCTTGGCTATTCAAATTTTACAGACCTTAATTTATGTTTATAAGTAATTACCCCAAAATCAAATTCAGTACTCTGAATGTCCCAAAAGTGAAGTCTCGTTCACACCAAGAACGATTACTGAAAAGATATCTACTGTATAAGGATAATTCAGTTAGTGTCCACAGCAATGCATGATATCATTTGTTTTTAATGATATATTAAAAATGATATTGTTATATATTTAAAGCAGGATGGATTCTGATTGGCTGCCAATGCTTTTATCGCTTCGACAATATCACTCTTCTGCAGTGTTGGGGAAGTTAGTTTTAAAAGTAATGCATTACGATATTGAGTTACTTCATTAAAAAAGTAACACATTGCGTTACTTAGTTACTTCTATGGAAAGTGATGCGTTACGTTTCTTTTGTGTTACATTTTGTCACCTGGCCTGGGCTTGATTATTAGTTTTTTTAAATAACAAAAAATCCGAAAAGTTATGTGTTTGGCAACTTAATTTGAAAAAGTAACTCGTTTAAAAGTAATGCGCTACTTGAAAAAGTAAACTGATTACGCAAATCACGTTACTTGAAATGCGTTACCCCCAACACTCTTCTTCTGTGTTGTTATAGTTGTAGTGTGGACCGCCCTATATTCTCATAGAATTTGAATGATTCAAATTTCTTAAAGTTATCCTCCGTGGTGTGAACGGTCCTTTAAACTAATAAGCGTCCACTGCACAAAACGCTACGCTCGGCAATCAAACAGGAATGGGCATCTGGGAAAAAGGCTTGGGTGCAAACGGTAACTGAAAAAAAGGCAGGACAGCGTAATGGTGGAAATGATGATGGCTACCATCATTACTCTAAAGGAAGAACAACACAAAGTCATCCAAAGAAAGCATAAGAATCAAACAGAAACAGCTTGGGTGTGTTTACTTCTGGTTGGTTATCGATGCAGAGCCATTGCATTTTTTGTACCATTCAGTACCTTAAGTCTTTGATCGCCTAGTCCTAATGCTGCATCCTCCGCAAAGATCGGATCCCACATCGAGTCATACCCGTCAATTTCCCTCTGTTTCATTCTGGCATAGAGAGCATCGTCTCTCTGAACTACACTTCCCACCAACCACTGCAAGCATACAAAATCAGCACAGTTACAGAGGTCGGCTGCACTCAGAGAGAGACACAACTCTTTCAGTGAGATTAGAAGGAAAGCCCTAGAGGCTCCACCAGCCGAGAGTCCTTTGTTTACAGCTAACAAAAGTCTGCGCCGATCTCCCGGATATTTCATCACATGTTTCTGAGGGTAAAAGTCCATTAGGTTGCAGCTGGTGAACAAGCTTATGCCAGTGGAAAAAATACAGCTATGCATCCGGTGTTTTAACAATCTGACCCTGAAAGAGAACCGACCACCTACTGACCAGAGGCCTTTGTCAACAAACCCTAAAGATGCGTGAGGTGTTTGTGTGTGTGTGTGTGTGTGTGTGTGTGTGTGTGTGTGTGTGTGTGTGTGTGTGTGTGTGGAAAGCTCAGCAGTACCTTGTTGGGGTCGGGCCTGAGTTTCTCATTGTTGGCCGTGGCGGCTTTTTCCGCCGCTTTCTTCTGCCGCTGAGGGCCTCTCCCGAAGAAGATGTAATTGACGAAGGCGTACTCCAGCAGCGCCAGGAACACAAAGACAAAGCAGCCCATCAGGTACATGTCTATGGCTTTCACATAGGGAATCTTGGGAAGGGTCTCTCGCAAGTGAGTATTAATGGTGGTCATGGTCAGCACGGTGGTGATACCTGGAGTTCAGAGAAAGCGTTCAGGCATAATTAAGTACAGCTCAAGTCAGTTGCAGCTTTATGTAACAAGAGAAGCGAGACATAATTATCCAGCAAGCGCTGAGTAGGAGCTGCCAACGGAGCAATTAGGGAGGTTATTCATGTGTCATCTTCCAACTTGAAACCATTATGAAAACTTTGACAACAATCGACTTGAATACAATGCGCTAATGCAAATGCAAATCGAAGAGGTTTGCCGCGAGCTACGGCACTTCCAGAGAGAAGCATTGAGATATACTTAGAGATGTGCTTTTCGATTTTAAACGAAGCACCATTTCGGGTAGCACTCATGAACACTGTGGAATGAGTTGCATGATGAAAATTAATGCTTGGGTTTAGGGGTCTGTTCGCTCTCATGCAACTCGCCTCACAAAGTTCTTGTGGCGTCAGTGGCACCTCAAAATTTGCAGCTTGTTGATGCTATTATTAAGCAATCCGAAGCACAAAACAAGCACAAAAAAACCCATGGACTTACAGCGAAGGAGGGGCCTTTTATGCTCGCCAAGGCTGCATTTATTTGATCAAAAAAGCAGTAAAAACTGAAATATTGTGAAATATTATTACAATTTAAAATATCAGTTTTCTATGTGAATATATAGTCAAATGTAATTTATGTCTGTGATCAAAGCATTGATCATTACTCCAGTCATCAGTGTCACATGATCTTCAGAAATCATTCTAATATGCTGATTTATCATCAATGTTGAAAACACTTGTGCTTCTTAATACTTTTGTGGAAACAAAGTGATAAATTTTTCAGGATTCTTTGAATAGTTCAAAAGAAAATCATTTATTTTAAATAGAATTTGTAACATTATAAATGTCTTTACTGTCCCTTTTGATCAACTTTATGCATCCTGGTTAAATCAAAGTATTGCTTTATTTTAAAATGTATTATACAAATATAACTAGAAACTACTTTGCAACGATTTGTACTGTGAAAAGCACTACACAAATAAACTTGAATTGAATCAATATCTTTTGTTGATCCTACATGGAAAACTAGACTGCTTGATGCATATGTTATAATAAACGAGACATACTTTCAACAAGTCAGATTTGAAAAGTTCTAATCTGTTTGGCAAACTTCTACCAGATTTCTGAGAGCCTAGTTTGTGTAGCCATTTAAAGGGTTAGTTCACCCAAAAATGAAAATTAGCCCATAAATTACTCACTCTCAAGCCATCCTAGGTGTATATGACTTTCTTCTTTCAGACGAATCCAGTCGGAGTTATATAAAAAATTGTCTTTGGTCTTTCAAGCTGTTTAATGCCACTCAGCGGGTGTTGCATGCATCAGTCCAAAAGAAGTGAAATAAAAAGCGACCATCCATAAATAAAACATGTCTCACACGGCTCCGGGGGGTGAACAAAGGCCTCCTGTAGCGAATCAATGTGTTTTTGTAAGAAAAATATCCATATTCACAACATAATAATCACTTTAATGTAGCTTGCGCCAGCAGTTGTACATGGAAGCAGCTCCGGGGCTGTATGAGTTCAGCGCTGCGCATGCAGTCTCCTGAGTCTCCTGAGTCTCCTGAAAACCAACATTTGTTAACAGGAGCAAAGGAAGCAAAGTTTCCTTACTTAAGCAAAGGAAAACCAGTCTCCTCTTGGCTTATATACTAACGGCATGCTTTTTACTGTACATTTCTGCCATAGTCGCCACTAATAACCTACTCCTAAATATAACTAGAAACTACTTTGCAACGATTTGTACTGTGAAAAGCACTACACAAATAAACTTGAATTGAATCAATATATTTTGTTGATCCTACATGGAAAGCTAGACTGCTTGATGCATATGTCATAATAAACAAGACACACTTTCAACAAGTCAGATTTGAAAAGTCCTAATCTGTTTGGCAAACTTCTACCAGATTTCTGAGAGCCTAGTTTGTGTAGCCATTTAAAGGGTTAGTTCACCCAAAAATGAAAATTAGCCCATAAATTACTCACTCTCAAGCCATCCTAGGTGTATATGACTTTCTTCTTTCAGACGAATCCAGTCGGAGTTATACTAATTTTCATTTTTGGGTGAACTAACCCTTTAACAATCCACCAGGAAACAAATCTGTGCTTACAAAAAGTAAAACACATTGGTTGTGGACACTAAAAAGTGGAGAGACGTGCTTCAAATGGATGAGCACTGAGAATGCCTAATGCCTGAAGTGCATATCTTTGAAATAATTGGTGCTTATTTGTTTTAGATTAAAAATTCAGATTATAAAGGTGAACAAACTTTACAGACATCTTCAACTATTTTCTTAGGGTTTTTAATGCAGATTGTTGTGCTATTATTTGCTTTCACAACGAAACACAGCGCCTTCACTACATGGCGGCGGTGGCAACAATACTACAGCGAGAATAAAAGTTACGCCTTCTTTCTTTGCGTGAACATTTGGGCGGCGTTATGCAAATCTTCCCACATAGTGATGTAGACATGTGGGGGCGTGTTAGAACGAGACGTTTTAGGTAGGCGTGGTTGACTCTTAACTTTGATAAAGAATATCTCTTTGGATTTGAGACTTTAGTCTTTGCAACTTTACAGATCTTCTTTATGCACCAAGAGCTTGTAACACTCCAAAGAGAAAGGAAAAATTGAAATCGCATCATATGACCCCTTTAAAACCTGGAAGACTTTGGCTGTATAATGTCATGTTTTCATGTGCATTAACATTTGTTCATGTAATGTCGGGATTCCCAAGCTTTTGATATTTTTATGATTTCAGTAATTAAGCTCTTCATGAACCCCAGTTTCAGAAACCCCGCTGTACTGTAATGTTTCATGCATTTCACAATATTGATAAAAAGGTATGAAATGTATTTTCCTTTTCTTTGTTGTTGTTGTTTTTTTTCTCACATTCGAGTCATGTGACAAACATGTGAGGTAAAAAGCAGTCTAAAAGTAATCAAAAAGTAGTCATACCTAATATGTGACCCTGGAGCACAAAAGCAGTGTTAAGTCGCTGGGGGATATTTGTAGCAATAGCCAACAATACATTGTATGGGTCAAAATTAATGATTTTTCTTTTATGCCAAAATAGTCTAAAAGTAATCAAAAAGTAGTCATACCTAATATGTGACCCTGGAGCACAAAAGCAGTGTTAAGACGCTGGGGTATATTTGTAGCAATAGCCAACAATACATTGTATGGGTCAAAATTATAGATTTTTCTTTTATGCCAAAAATCATTAGGATATTAAGTAAAGATCATGTTCCTTGAAGATATTTTGCAAATTTCCTACCGTAAATATATCAAAACTTAATTTTTGATTAGTAATATGCATTGCTAAGAACTTCATTTGGACAACTTTAAAGATGATTTTCTCAATATTTAGATTTTTTTGCACCCTCAGATTTTCAGATAGTTGTATCTCAGCCAAATATTGTCCTATCCTAACAAGCCATACATCAATGGAAAGCTTTCAGATGTTTTCCGGCTTTCAGATGATGTATTAATTGCAACTTTAAAAAATTTACCTTTACGACTGGTTTTGTGGTCCAAGGTCACATATGTGTAATCCAGATTACGCTACTAACTACAATTTTACTCATGTAATTTGTAATCCATAATGGATTACTTTGTAAGTAATCTACTCAGCACTGGTTAGTTAAATGTCTGAAAAAGGTCTGTGGCCAACAAAAGCTAGAAATATTTTCAAGATTTATTCTACACCATCAGCAATACCCCCTTGTGGTTTTTTAAGCTTTTACTTGTTTTGCGGTTGTCTGGGCCATTAAAAACCATCACACCGAACAGGACAACTTGTCATCTCTCTAGTTCACATTCACAGCCTCGTTGTTTCAAACACAAGCTTTGAAATGTATAAAAGTATTCATTTGTGAAGATTATCTTGATGCACAAAATGTGTAAGAATCATAAACTTTGTTGGTCACAGAGCTTTTTTTCTGCAATAATCCAAAAGCCAACATGAAAATCCTATTGGGTTTTGTAGAGGGAACCAGGGTGACGTAAACTTCCAGGTTAACCTACAAAATGATGCCATCACTGCAGCACAATATAGGAATGTTGTTCCAGGACCAACAAGGATGTTGATACAGAAACACATCTTGGCAAAATCACAGTCACTGATGTATTACTCAACTGCAATGAGAGGCAAACAGAAAAGAGCCTGTAAAACAAGTACCGGAAATCCAAAGAACCATCACAGCTGATCCCTGAGCATACAAAATAAAGACACAGTATAAAATGGTCACCATAACCCCAACAAACACATCACATGATCAGATGTCCCACCTAAAGCCACGCGTGCAGCAGAAGCATCGTAGTTGATCCAGAAGGATACCCAGGACAGGATGGTGATCAGGATTGAGGGCATGTAGGTCTGCAGGATAAAGTAACCGATGTTCCTCTTGAGTTTGAAACTCAGAGACAGACGAGGATAAGAGCCTGGTCCAAAAAAGAAAAAGAAGGACGGTTTCATTCATGCTCTCTAGTAACATCTAGTAATAACCATTTTGGAATTGCTGTAGTCGTACCACACAAAGTTTGGGGTGGTGTGCAAAATTGTAAATATTTGTAAAAGAAGCGTTTTCTGCTCACCGGGGCTGCATTTATTTGATCAAAAATGCAGTAAAAAAAGGTGAAATATTATTGGAATTCAAAACAACTGTTTTCTATTTTAATATATTGTAAAATGTAATTTATTTCTGTGATCAAAGCTGTATTTTCAGCATCATTACTCCAGTCTTCAGTGTCACATGATCTTCAGAAATCATTCTAATATGCTGATTTGCTGCTCGAGAAACATTTCTGATTATTGAAAACATAGTCGTGCTGCTTCATATTTTTGTGATGCATGATTTTTCAGGTTTCTTTGATAAGTAGAAAATGTAAAAGAACAGCATTTATTTGAAATCTTTTGTGATGTAGTTAATGTCTTTACGGTCACTTTTTATCAATGCAATGCATCCTTTAATCAATTTAATGCAATAATGCATCATTTCTTTTTTAAAAAACCTGGACTGACCGTTATCAATGAACTGTTGTTTTTAGCATCAGTCTTTTTCTTGTATTGCAGAATGCTGATCATTTTAATTTGATCATTCAATGCATTGGTCCATATCTAGTAAACACAGAGGCCACCTCAAATATATATTTGATGGCAGAACCGGTCGCAATAATAAGCGGCGTGTCTGAGAGTGTGGGTAGAGTCAGACAGCCAGACTGTTCCTGTTATCTGTTCCTGAAAGGCAGACCAGTGATGATAATAAGACTGGAGAAAAACAAATTATGTGCACTTACTCGCATGCTTACTCATCGCATACATCGCTTCAAGGATTAGCAAAAGGATACTGTAACTATATATGCATGCAATAAGGTCTGCACCACAACATTTCAGCTTGTGATGTTTTTGTGGATAAAGTGTAGGGATCATACCAGGCCGGGGCTTATATCATCTTTCTGTGTGCTCACAGATGTGTGTATAACGGCTGTTGCACATGAAGCCTTTGCATGTAGTTTAATAAAAATCAGAGCTGGGTAGTAACTGATTACATGTCATCTGGAATATGTCATCAGATTCCAAAAAATAAGTATTTGTAATTAGATTATATTACATTTTAAAATACGTTTTTTTTATCGATTACATGATTACATATTATTCACTCAATTGCAATAAATTATTTATAATTTATTGATTTTCCCTAATTCTTCTTTTTCCGTCTTTTCTAAAATAGCCAACCGCTTACATACATTCAGAAAGTCTTCCAGTTTTGTGGACGTTCACACAAAGACCACTCACTATAATTAAACAGAAAATATACAAGCCACACAGAATTTGACCACTGGATTTACAAAAAACATTTCCGTTTCAAGAAGTGTCTTCTCAGCATTACTGATGAACACATTCAATGATGGGTTATTTAACCATGTATTTCTATGACTTCGGAAGGCTTTTGTCTTCAAATTCATTAAAATGCACAAATTCACGTTATTTCTTATTTACATGTAATGCAGGGATTCCCAAACTTTTTTGTGTCATCTGAACCTCTTTCATCTAATATATTTACTTGAAGTGTGATTTTAAGGTAATAATTTAATAATTAAGTAACCCATTTGCATCTTCATGGTCCTCTGATGTTGGTTAATGGTCAGATGACATCAGGAAAACTAAATACTTCATCATTTTTAGTATGTTTTTTTTTTTTTACTGTTATTTTAAAATGATTTATTTTAACTTTACATTTTTATGATTTAATTAATTATTAACCTTTCTCAAGTCTAAACTCATGAACCCCCTGCAGTTTCTAGTTTGGGACCTTACAGTAATGTAATTTTTAATGCACTTATAATATATTTTCTTTCTCTTTGTATTTTTATTTCAATACAAGATTATCCTATTTAAATCAATGTGATAAATGAGTAATCAAAAAGTAGTCTGACTATATTGCCTAAAATGTGCAATGGATTATGTTACTAACTACAATTTTTGTCATGTAATTTGGAATCCATAACATGTTATGTTAATGTAATCTACACAGCTCTGATAAAAATACCAAAGAATTCAGGGTGAGACCCAGCCGTTTTATATTAGCTTTACTTTCTTTACTTTTTTTAAGAAGTCTTGAATAATCATATCTTTTGGTTTGTGTCTGAAAACTGAAAATACCCTTTTAATTTGTAAAATTATTTTCTCATTAGATAATATGTACGGTTATCATGAAAAAAAACTCATACAGTGATATAATATTCTGGTCCTACCGCCCACCCCTAGATCAAACATTACTTCTGACTCATGGTCCCAACTGTGCAACACACACAAAGGAGAATAAACTCAACCTGTGGAGAAAACCACGTTCTTGGAGATGAGTTTGTAGTCCACGATGGAGAACTGAGGCAGCTCGATCCTCTCCACCCCTGTGACGGCTCCATCTCCCCCTCGCCAGTAAAACTCGATATCATCTGTGGTGTAGCCATCTGGAGGATCCAAACACACGTGCGTTATGACAAATATGAGGACAACTGAGGAACAGCAGCATGAAATGTGCTCTGCATAAAGACTGACTTTGTGTCTTACTTCCTTCTGCATCCAAGCTTTATGAGACTCTAAACAAAGAGAGAGTTGATCCTCGAAAACGTTGATCATCATCCTCAGATTGTGCATTTGAATATTGCATATTAGTAAATATGATAAGAAATTTGTTTTATATTAATTAACGGGGTTAGATTTGTTTTCAACCCTGTTACCAATATCCGTGACATGTCTAAATACAGTTTAAAACATTTTAGAAATAAATAGACAAAACTTATACCATTAAAAATAAACAAAACAAACATGGGTAACAGGGTTGTAAATATCACATACATATTACATCTCTAAATTACATCACTCAATAGCTAGTTGGGACCAAAAGTTTTAGTTTTTTTTTTTATTTCCCAAAAATTAAAGATATATATTTATTCAATGTTTTTAGTTTTTTTTCCTACAATATTTTGGGTAACAGAGTTGAAGCTTAAGATTGACAAATGCAATCAACAAGAGGAAAGGAATAAGGTTGTTTATGTGAAAATTTGGTTATGTGATCCAAATTATGTAACTTTGATCATGCAATAACCAGTGCTACTTTAGTATCATTGAAATGTTTTTATAGTTGTTATAAATATTTTTAATCTGTTTTTATTTTTATATCTTTTTTGTTTTCGAAACAAAAACCTTTGTTTGTCTCAAAAACGTTGATCATCATCCTCAGGTTGTCCATTTAAATATTGCATATTAGTAAATATTATAAGAAATTTGTTTTATATTAATTAATGGGGTTAGATTTGTTTTCAACCCTGTTACCAATATCCGTGGCATGTCTAAATACAGTTTAAAACCTTTTAGAAATAAATAGACAAAACTTATACCATTAAAAATAAACAAAACAAACTAAAAACGATGCAAACATGAGTAACAGGGTTGTAAATATCACTCAAATTACATATTACATCTCTAAATTACATCACTCAATAGCTAGTTGTTGTTGTAGTTTTTGTTATATTTCCCAAAATTTAAAGATAAATATTTATTCAATGTTTTTTTCCTACAATATTTTGGGTAACAGGGTTGAAGGTTAAAGGGGTCCTATTATTTTAATTTAAACTTTTTTAATTTTAGTCAGTGTGTAGTGTGTATGTTTGGGCATAAAAAAGATCTAGAAAGTTACAAATCTCAAAGTCCACTCCAAAGGGAGATATTTCGTTTTTAAAAAATCCCTTTTCAAGAACTACAGCAAATGGCTCGTTTGGACTACAGCGTTTGGTTTCCGGGCTTTGTGATATCACAAAGCGGCTCATTAGAATTTCATTACAAATAATTCCCGCCTACAGAAATGTGAATGGTTGGGGTGTGGGGAGGGGCGAGGTCGTGGTTAGAACGCTTGGTTGAGTGAGCGCATCAGACGAGACGACGAAGAAGAAGTGCTGCTGCAGAGTTAGTGCGTCAGAGAAAACCAAGAAGAAGAAGAGCTGCTGTGCTGTAGCGTCCAATTTTCGGCATGTCTAGAACAGCGGTTCTCAATTCCAGTCCTCGCGTACCCCCGCTCTGCACATTTTGTATGTTTCTCTTATTGCTTCATACGTTTGTTATATTTGACTGTAAGTGCCCTGCGAAGTGGACATTACCGGATATTCCTCCATGATTCCAGTTTGAAGGGAGCGTATATGTTCCATACAAAGGGCATTTAAGTGTGCGAGACGTGAATTTAAATTGTATTTATTTACAGAGGTATATTATGTCCCACTTCACACTTCTCTAGTAAGTTTCGTTTGTGTGTGAAGACGCTGCAGGCAGCGGCG